AGAAGGCCAAGTATACCGAGCTTCTATGCCAGTGCAGAGGTTAAGGTTGGAAAACATGGCTTTTCCGGATTGAGATTTGCGCCAAAAGATTCCCCGCACAATGAGTTGAGAACGCGTCCGGATAATGCCCTAGGGATCAAAGGAGGCGAGAGAAAGCGAGCTGTTGGGAGACTAAAACAGTCAGCGGAGAAAGCATCCAGCTGGCTGTGGATCAAGAGGGAGGAGAAGAGCTGGCAGTTAACCACTCGGCAGTAGTGCTTGATGCCCGGAGAGTGTCACATGTAGTGTAATTAATTTTTGTTTGCAAATTGTCAATTTTCAAGGTGCAACATACTGTATATGTGTTAACATCTATCAACTGTGGATCAAGAACAGAACCTTGTTGCACACCTATAATTATATCAAAAGTGGACAAAGAGCAGAACCTTGGTGCACTCACAACTAATTGGTTTACTGCACATGCCCTCTGTTTCAACAGCTATTTATTCAGCAGAGAAAGCATTCAGTTGGCTTTGGGTCAAGAGGGAGGGGAGCTTGAATCTAACCACTGACCCGTAGTGCCTGATCAGCACTGCGGTTGCATCGCCCGGAGAGTATCCTGGGATTAAAGGATGAAACACTTGTTGATTGGAGGTTCCCAGCTAATGAGTCAGTGGTTTTGTGCAGCACACACTGAATACAAAACAGCATACATTATACATTATATTATTTCTAATATGTGAACCCTGGTCATAAAAACCACGTTGAAAATAAAAAGGAAATACTGTAAAAACACTTGAGTGTAACCACCTGACAAATGGTTACAAATGGTTACTGTTATTTTTGTCAAATTATGTGCTTACAAATGAATGTTACCACTCCCAAAAGACCATACTCCTGGCCAATGACACAAACTGACGTTGCTTGAACGTTAAACTTGACAAGCTTAACTATTGTGAAACTATGGAGAAAATATTCAGTTCGCTGAACAACCGATCACCCAAAAAGTGGTCGGCCACGAGAAACGTCTAACATGGACTTCAGATACATTCAACTTTGTCATCTTGGGGAACATTTTATGGTGTCGACGTTAACATAACATCATCACGTGAAGCGACGTCCGGCGTCAATGTTTTACTTTAACCAACTTCTTAATGACCAAAATGCTCATGGTGATGATATTTAGCCAGTAGTTTGCTGGGATAAAGGGTTACCAAGTTTGTTCAAATGAATGACCTTCACTGATATTCAATGCCACAGGGGTCAATTGTCTAAAAAAACACACTTAAAGAACCTCTCGTGAATAACCAAAAGGTCCAGGGTGATGATTTAAGACCAGAAACATGCTTGTATGAAGGGCTGCAAACTTTGTGCAAATCGATGACATTGACTTATATTCAAGGTCACAGGGGTCAAATATGTTAATAAACTTCTTCTGAAAAGACCCTGCCCAGGGTAATGATATTTGGCCATTAGCATGCTGGGATGAAGGCCTACCAAGTGTGTTCAAATAAAATACCTTCACTCATATTCAAGGTCACAGTGGTCAAATATGTTAAACACTTTAAGCAACTTTTGAATAACCAAAATGTACAGGGAGTGATATTGGGCCTGTAGTATCCTGGGATAAAGGGATACTAAGTTTGTTCAAATGAATGACATTCACTCCTATTCAAGGTCACATGTGTCAATTGTCTTAAACAACCTCTACTGTATAACCAAAAGCCCGTGGATGTTTATATTTGGCCAGTAGTATGCTAGGGTGAAGGGCTACCAACATTGTATACATTAATGACTTTTACATATATTCAAGGTCACAGGATTCAAATTTGTTTAAAATCTATATGACTTCTAAATAATTTGATATTTTGCCAGTAGCATCCTTCGATGAGGAGCTATCTATTTGAATGACCTTGAACCACTTTGAAGGTGACATTTGGTTAAATTTGTATACACCTTTAAATGACCTAATCTCAATAAACAAAGGGTCTAGGGTGGTGATATTTAGCAAGTTGCATGCTGAGATAAAGGGCTATAAAGTTTGTTCAACGTAGTCAATTTGTTCGACGTTCAAGGTCACAGGGGTCAAATGTTTTGAAATCTTTTAACAGGTTCTTTTGAATGACTTATAGTCATACATACTGATATTTTGCTTGTAGCTTTATTTAAGATCACTTTTAATGTAACAAGTGTGATATTTATACCAGGTGATCGATGCAGGCCCATTTGGGCCTCTTGTTTAAATCGTATCAGTCAATGAACAGTTCGCAAGCAACTCAAATCTTTCAGGGTGAAATCAGAGGCCCTACAATGGTTTGATACTGCAGCAACGTTATCAACGTCAACTTGTTTTTGTAGGCACAACGACGTCGCAACCAAAATCAAAGGATCTGGAATCATGCTGTGTTCTAATGAATGCAGATTTTGCCTCAGCATAATTGATGGATGTTGCAGAGTTTGACAACGTCGTGGCGACCGCTATAAGGACATCTGTGTACAATACATCCTCGATATCCAGGGGTTACGCTCATGCACGATCTCTGCACCCCTGTAATATGTCATAGCAAAATTGAATCGCTAGGCTTATACCTGTCCTTTGAAGATTACAAAAGGGCGATACCCGTTAGTCAATGTTTACCGCTACGCGACCGCGATATTCTGTTAATGTACATCAAGGGTTCAAACTAGCCTTCTCGTCTCATCCACAAGGCCGTGCACACTGAGCCTTCGATTTTGCTATGACATATTCTAGGGGTGCAGAGAGCGAAAGTGAGCGTTACCCCTGAATATCGAGGATGTGTACAATAGTACGGTCGTGGAAAGTTGGAAAGCATTTGATGAGGGGAGGCATCAGACACAGCATTTATTAAACCGCCACGTATGTCAACCTTAAAACTCGCCGACAACGCTGGCAGAATAAGACTTGACACTCCATGACGAGCTGCAGAATATTCCTCGGAACACCACACCTCATGATCCTTGAGTGCATTGGAACACACGAGGGCCACACAGAAGAGAATCAACGTAGTGATTAACGCAAATGATTAACATAGGCGAAATTAAACATATCCTTCATAATGAACACTAACATTCATGACCGTCACCCTTTCGTGATGTAACTGACGACGTCGTATCAAAAGTAATTTAATGTTTGAAACAAATTAAGTTTTCAAGTTTCAAAAGTCTGTAAATGAACTTTACGATGTTATCAAGCACTAACTAGTTTTGATATTCGAAATATATTGGTCCTAATATAAATATATCCTTTGCACTTCAGTGTAGTTGATTATTTTGTTTCCTCTAACGTCTTATTTGAACAACCAATGCACGCATTGGCATTTATTGTTTGTTTTGTTCTGTAGGTCTTACTGTGTAAGTTTGCTCCATAATTTACAGATTAACTGACACCTGTACAAGATACACTGTTTGTAAATCCTGAAAACTGCATTATAATATTTTCTAAGGTAGAGTATTTTTTACTTGATTGCGAGATATTGATGTCTTAATTATACAGTTAATTAAACACATCATTTTAAGCGATTTAGTTTTGATAGTACACTAACGTTATTTTTTGTCAATGGTGTATGAAGTCCTTAATGTAAATGTGGCAACCTCTGTGAGAATGTTTTCCATTATTTCTTTGATAGTTCAAATTAATAATATACCCCGTAGTGCTTTTTACTAAATCTCGGTATAAACAAATCATGACATTAATGATAATAAACCATACCTTTTCGGAATAGGGCATAAATAATGTAAGAAATTGGGAGTCCTATTGTTTTCCTTTGTGGTAATTGAATGTGTTTTAATCAATAAATGGATCATTATTACTATTTATGAAACACAGTGTGGTTTTGTTACGTCACATGGTATTCGAACCCTAGCAACAATACCCTTTTACACATTTCCTGAAAATATCGAGCATTTTTAGTTTTAAAGTGCCCTTTGACGCTATTGTTTAAACTCGGGATTTTAACGATACTTTATTGACATGTGTGCCAACTTAGCTGTCGAATTACTCAAAAGATGACATTAAAAGTAGTTCAATATTTACACTATAGATGTTGACGTCTCCAAGCATGAAAATAAACGCATCTTTCGTATAATCTAAGTACTTCCTTCGTGAAAGAAAATCCCTAAAAGCTTATTATTTGAAATTATACATTTCGCACAGCAACCACATTCACTTCGCGGTTTAGTGGATGCAAACATCTTTCAATAATCTTTCATTTTAACACAGCCACATTGTTCGGTGGGTTTAGATATAAACATAATGTATATCAGCTGTCACTAATGTTAAGTTATGGTAGTTTTAGAGCTTCATAAAAAGATAAAAAACAAGATTAAATACGCTAGATTTCTTTTTTTGACACAGTGCTAAATACTGAGCTGCGATCGATCTTAAAAGTTACACGTACCTTGCGTATTTGTAATGATTGTTGTTGCCAATCTTTAATTCATCTAACGCCTTTATCTTGTTTTACACAAAACAAATAATGTGAATATTTTCAAATCTTGGGCTAGCAATGCACAAATTGACATTTACCTTGTACCTTATGATTTTTTAAAGTGCAATTATCACCAAAAATAATTTCATAACTAACAGATTTTGGAGAAGGTAGGATTGATATCCGGCAAATTCTCTGTAAATTAAGGGATCTCCATTATGCGTAAATCTGTCACTAAATTAAAAAAAATATATATACCACAATGTCGTTGTTTTGCTTCACATAAAACGACTATAGCATCGCAATATCCTTTAAAATTCTCTGAAATGTACATATAGTTTAGTTGCTATAGTAAGATGCTTTCGTGTTTACCAGCTGTGATTTCAATTCACTCTTAAACAATATTTTAACTAAGTTCAATTTAAATATGCTAATCTGATTTGCAGATAAGCTCATGATGTTGCCATGAAGTGTGAATTTAGTAATATTTAAATATCACAATGTTTGATTGATTTTTAGTGATGCATTGAAGCATTTTTATTTTGTCTCTCACATCACTATCAGTAGGCCGCAGACATGGTGTTTACTTTACAACCGTGCTTAGTGGTACTGCTATTTGCGACATCATTTGCAGACGAGTAAGTATGATGTATTTTGATTGACACTTAAAACCACATTTTAGAACTGTATTATCATGTTCATGTATCGACACTTTATACAATATTTTAACATTTTCAGTACATACTTCATACTTGCACCCAAACTAATCCGACCTGGTCAACCGATCTCTGTCTTCGTTCGGATAGTGAACGCAACTGGACCAGTCGATATAGTTTTAGCTGTTTTAGATTCCGGCAATGAACCTATTGCAGATGTGTCGGATACAGTTCATGCTGGTAAGTCATCAATTTAAAATATCTTTGCTTTTCATATGTCTGCCGAAAAGAATATTAGTGAAATAAAGTAACTGCAACCATGAAAGATGGAATATTAGTGTTTCATCAATAATGAATAAGTATGAATATTCAAGCTTTTAGTATGAAAAATAAAGTATAATATTAAATTTGAAGATAATAAACAAAACAAAACAGATGACAATGCAAAACGTGTAAATTCAAAGTATATTACTGGTAGGTGCACACAAATGTATTTTTTTAATATTATTTTTAGGGACACCCAAGATGTTGGAGCTTAAGGTAAGTGCGAGTTATTACTAGTAAATTACTAGACATTTAAAGTGTTTCTTTTAGATCATAACACACGCGTAGGATATTTTCAGTTTACCGTTTTATTTAGTTGATTGATTAACATAGTTAGTTTTCTTTTACATTAAATTTGTTTTAAATAAGTGCTTGTATAGCATAGCCTGTTTAAGCTATATATATGAAGGTTTTTTTTTTCAACGATTATGAAACGAGTTCTTTCAACTTACATTTATCATTCTTGTTGGTTCGGATGCGCGGGGGTCTTCATGTGGGAGGAATCCAGAGTACCGGAGGTACTGCGGTTGGTCAGCTAAACTCTTTAAAACACGTGGATGTGTCGCGCAAATCTGATGACAGCGATTGATTTAAACATATTTTTATTTGCATCTAATATACAAAAGGGATTGGGCAAATGACAGCGATTGTGAGAGTTTATACATATTTGTTGGAGATAAAAAGTATACTTATATGTCAATTGATTCATTTATTTCTTGACTACGTGTCATGTCCAATCCGACACATAATGCACGCTATATGTTTTTATTCGATTGAAGTTCTGTCGGCTGCTCACATCGATAGCCATCTTGCCCTAATCATTCGGGTGCACCAGCGATTCAAGAATACTACGATTTTGATCAGTTTTAGAAGACAATTTGTATAAATAAGTCCAGGTAAACCAATTTTGTTCTGGTGATCTCGACGTATTCAAGACCATGATAGGTTTTCAGCTTTTATTGATTAAACCTATCGCTACACAGAGTTGTCGTTCATTACCCTCGTGTTTACAAGGAACGACAACTTTGGAAAGAGATTGAAATAAAATAAGCGAGAGGAAAAACCTCGAAATATGCGAAAATCCATAAGGTACTTGCAACAGATCAGTATTGGGATTTTCTCTCATTATCGATGAAAAAACTCGAAAGTAACCCAGCTAAAATGATGTTTCCTTGAACCAAATATAAAAATTAACATTCAGCAATTGCTTTCTTTTCTTTGTATGCAGATACCAGATGATCTTCCGTCGGGTACTTATACATTACGGTCAGAAGGGACTGGAGCACTGGAGTTTATTGATAGCGTGCGTTTGACATATTCGCCAAAAGCAACCTCGATATTCATACAGACTGACAAAGCTGTGTATCGGCCGGGTGAACTAGGTAAGCTTAACTTAAGGATCCCCGTACCACTGACAAAAATGAAACTATTCATTCGAAACTTATTTTTCCGGCATGACTACAGCTTTGATAAATCATTTTTGAATAGAACAGTATACCTTGCGAGACTTTTATGCAAACATAATTGAGATGAGATAAAAATTACATGATCCATAAACGTGTTCTCAGTGTAAAATATTCTTTGGGGCCAGACCGGAATTTGAACATTTTACTTCAGATTGTTATACCATCGTTGAAACCGATTGAGCTATCTGGATAAATAAAGTTTACGAGCCCAAATGTGCTAGTTTTATCCCAACGGAACTTAAGGGGAGGTAACTGTATATACAACGAATTGGGACATCTCTAATTCTAAAATAACATGCAGAACGTTCATTTGAACTTAGATAACCTTTCAATTTCAACTGATTGGTATCAGTGGTGCTTATACATATTCAAATTACATGTGTATAGTTGTTGTCCATTTGATGACTAGCTAAGTTACTATCTAAGGCATCATGGATTCAGATCGTGCAGTCCGGTCGGTTCTTATTAAAATCATATTTGGTCACAATTCTATGTGTAGATATTTCAGTTCACATATCTTAGTGAAATCTTTGATGTTTCCTTTAGTTAAGTTTTTGTTTTTTTGATTGATAGATTCAATATTTATACATATCTCAATGTTGATCTATCAATTTCATCGCCTCAATCTTTTTATTTTTATAACAAAATAGAGGATACCCGTACTTACATTATACAAACTAGTTTCTGACGCCTTTTTAAAACTTGTGTATTTGGCGTTTGTCTTTCCTCTTTGAATCAATCGCTCAAATAACTTAGATTTTGGAATTCTGCGCCGGTTTTGCATTATCGATATTCCGTAAAATTACAAATAAAATGAATTTATTGAATGACTAAGTATTTTTGGAACGAAAATATCTGCTTTGTTACATTAGATATCAAATGCTTTAACTAACAAACATTTTCCAGGAAGCGCATTGTTCCGTGCCCTGTAATAACTAATGTTATAAGCCATATTGCTTATCATTGTGTAAATTGATGGTTGTTTTAAACTCTAGCTCCATTTTTCGATGATAGCAAGTCATTGTTATGTTGTAATTATTACAATGCTATTACAGTGCGGATACGGGCAGTGGGAATATATTCTAGCCTAAAAGTGGTTCGTGCTCCAATGAACGTCACCATATTTGTAAGTTAGTTTAAATAGTATTTAAAATCCATGATGCTTTTATATAATTTCAATGCTTAACCTGATTTCTATTCAAAAGCATGTTCCTTGGCTGCATGAATACATTTTTATAACTTTTATATAATTTCTCTTGCTCTTGTTGTCTTTTTCAAATTGTATTTGAGTTCAATTTTGCTTGTGTGTTTGTGCGCTGTGGTATATGTATTGTTTATATTGTTATTTTAATTATCCTATAAAGTTACAATAATAACTTTATATTGCAGTTTTTTTTCCGACTATTACTTTTGCAAGATTGAAAGAAACATTTGTCTTCTTATGAAGTTACAATTATTATATAACCTTACAATGCAGATATATGTTTCACTTTATTGCTTTTGCAGGACCCACGATCTAACAGACTCAATCAATGGATTTCCTTTATTGACCCAGTTTCCGGTATTTTTAAATGCGAATTTCAACTAAACGATTTTACCAACACTGGCGACTGGACGATATCCGTGGAACAGTTGGTAAGACTATTTAAGATAGGAGAATTTGTACATGTTGTAAATTTGAAGTGTTGAAATATGTGTTAATTTATTGAAGTTGCACTTGATACAAGGTGATTCCATTGCTGTAATAGCAATGATGCAGTGAATATGTTCTGCCTATACATAAACGCATGGATCGACGGAAGATATTTTCAATATTTTCAAAACAAAATCGCGAGAATGCCAAATACAGAGTATGGTTCTATAAAACACATTTTATTCAATCTGTTGCATATCCAATATTCTTCATTGGCAACAGGTTGAGCAGCAAGAGAAGATATTTGAAGTAAGAGAGTTCGGTAGGTAAATGCTATTGGTTTATCATTATTAATTATCCCATTATGATAAAACTAAATGAAACAGACGTTTGTATACGGATGGTTACAAAATTTAGTACCGCATCAAGCGAAGAAAACAAATGCAGAGAATAAGTCAATTGCTTTGTGGAAAAAAATACGATATATATAAATATATAGGGATTGAACGGCGTTTTCTTAATTTTCGTACCGGCATGATTTTTTTTCTTCTATAGGACAATCATTTAATTCATTTTATTTGTTTTTCAATAATAAATTTAATCACTGCGTTTTGTATATGCGTCGTCCTTCAAACGACATTGGCGGAACAGTCGTATTTAAATGTTATTGGCGCCAATAGTTAACTGTAGTCATTTGAGCGTTTGACTCGGGGGCATTCTCCATGTTATCCGAAGCGAAGCGACAAGACTCTCATTGAATAAGGTTAATATATGACGTCATACTTAAACCACGTGGCACGTCACGAGAATTTCTGCTGGTAAATGTTCATTAAGTGGGTTGTAGCGCAATTGTAAATATATATAGCTAAATATATTTCTTTGATACAAAGAGTTTCTTAGTATTTCCCTAGTTCTTTTACCACTTTAGAAGTTCATCATGGGTAGTGTTTATTAATGTTGATAGGATAACAACACATAACCTGATGAACTTTTCGTTGTCCTGTTAACATGAACTATCACATCCCCTGATGAACCTTTTTATTCCGTCAACACGAATAAACACATTCCCTGATGAACCCCGAAAGATGTGAAAGTACTAGGGAAATACTCAGAAACTATTTTCGTAATTTCTTCTATATTACCATTACATGGACTTTTGGATGTTTTTTTTGTATTTCTATACATCATGAAATATATTAAACGTTTTTGAATATATATATATATATTTGTTAAAGATAAGACGATTTTTGATTGATATAAACATTAAACGAATGGTATAAATTACAGATGAACTGAATTTCTTTACCCGTTAATCTTGCCAATAGAAATTGAGACGCACGCCTACAATGTACCTGTATCTGAATATTCATTAATCCGGAAAACTCATCAATTAGTAATCGCATAAATTAATATGTAAGTATCATTTTTCCTGAAATTTATATATTGTCCAGAATTTTCTGTTGGAAAGAAAAGGTTTGCGGATCGACGAGGGTATATTGCATACACTTTCTTGTTTTCTTTGTAGTCCTCCCAAGATATGAAGTAAACCTCAAATTTCC